AATGAGAGTTCTTCAGCAGGAGAACACACGGTTTTGACATACAGTTTTTCAGAGTTTAATAATCAGATTATGCCTTAAAAACTTTAGTCACCAAATTAGTTCCTCAAAGAATCTTTTTGTCACCACCTTCACCCTCCAAGGATTTTGTCACTAAATTAATTCCTTGAAGATTTAACGTCACCAAACTAATCTTCAAAGATTCTTTTTGTCACTAATTTAATCCTCCATAAAATCCTATATGGTGACTTTTTAAATCTTTGAGGGACTAATTTGGTGATAGATTTGAGCAACTAATTTGAGGGGGATGTTATCTATATAATATCTCAATATTAATTTTGTATTTTATAATACTTTAGAGTATCTTTAGATGATATTTAGTAGGGGTTTCCATATTTCATTATATTTCGATTTATTTTCTTATTAAATTATGAATATGATAGAACAACAATGATTAATTGATAGGAATTTTATTGATTCTGATGCAAATTAAAGGCCCAGAACAACTAATGTTTCTAAGAGGAGGCCCAAGAGAAGGGATGCACCTGATCAGAACAATAGGTCTGTTGCACTTGCACCTGATCAGATTTAAGGGGAGTGGGGACAGAGAGTAAATAAGTGCCTAGGTGGCAAGAGTAGTGGGGAGGTGCATGTGATGCATTTTTCAGGAGAATGAGTATTTGTTTTCGGGGGGGGGGGGGGGGGGGAGGGGGGGGGGGGGGGGGGGGTGAGAGTAGTGTAGCGTGTGGGTGGAATTAGTTGGGACTTGGGAGAGAATTGTGCACTCTCAAATCTGCCCCTGTTGTTGCTTTCTTTCTATTTTTCTGCATTTATCTCTTTCTCTTGTATTCCCTAAACCAGTCCTGGTATCACTCTGATATAAGCTTGGATTTCCATTATTAATATAGCAATCAGTCTCTGTTTTTGTACAGGAAGTGTCTCACTGTCTCAGAGTTGATAAATTTGATAACACCTAGTATTATCCGATTATAGAGTTGGAGTTCTCTATATTTACTTATTTACTTGTCAACAGGGCTCCTATTGGGCAAGGATACGGCTTGACTGAAACATTTGCTGGAGCTGCCTTTTCAGAGTGGGATGACTACAGTGTGGGACGTGTTGGTCCACCTCTTCCTTGTTGCTACATTAAGGTATGTCATATATACCATCAACAAAAAATCAGTGTGAGGTTCCAACTACTACTTATTCATAGATATTGCATTGAATTATGATAATGGCCTTTAATTATTGTAGTTTGAGGATGGTGCATAATAAAACGTAACATCAAAGATAGTAAGAAGTTAGCAACATCTGAGAAATAACGAATTCATATCTCTTAATCTGTATTAGAACTTGCAGTGGTGCTATTTAGGAGGTAATTTGATTTCTTTAATAATGTGATTGTATAGCTTGTTTCTTGGGAAGAAGGAGGGTATCTGACATCAGATAAACCAATGCCAAGGGGAGAGATTGTAGTTGGAGGATTTAGTGTGACACCTGGTTACTTTAAGAATCAAGAGAAAACTAAAGAAGTTTTCAAGGTAATTTCCAAACTTATAGTTGTATGCATGGCATTTTTCCTTATTCTTTTCTTTTAACCGCTCTTGAGT